CCCTTGTCCTATCACTACAGTCCCTAATGAAGTCCCTCCCCTTCATCATTGTACGCCCCAGGTGATGAAATGTGGCAAAAAAGGATAGAGGAGTGTGGCAGTAAGGAACTCGGAGATAAAAGCTAAAGCAGAGATTGAAATACTGCTAGGATGATCATGCAATAGGTCCACAGCCAGCTGTTCACGCTCACAGAGGGAAAGAATTCCTAGAAACCAGACAGAGGGACCTGCTGTGTACTGACACGCTGGGCAGCTGGATACTTATTTGTAAGTCCTTTCATTTTTGTCCTGTCTTGCATAGTTATTTTCAGATTTCAGGTTTAGTTTATTCTTGTTCTTAGTTTCAAAGCTGTTTTGAGCCTCCTTATACATACCGTGTGATGAAATAGAGTAGGCAGATCTCCCTTAAAGCCTTGTATGTCTGGGGGTCCTGTATTTATATCCTAGAAGGTTCCTCTTGGAGTATTTTCCCCCATTTAACTATTTAAAGCAATTACATTTTTATCGCTTTAATATGTGCAACAGTAACTTTCCAATGTTTCTTTCTATTTATGTAAACACATGAAGTCTTCCTTTGGCTCACTGTTTTGTTCAGGTTTAGAAGCTGACATCCCTTTCTAGATACTCACTGTAGCCCTGTTCTTAGGAAGGGGCAAGTCTTGCTGTCGTATCCCTTACAAATTTAAAAGGCACCTCAGACATAGCCAACTCAAAATGCTTTGGAGGGAAATACCAAAAAAAAAGCATTTCCAACAGTTCTTGTCTCATATCATATTAGAGCCGCTAACAGCAGTGGGAAGTCAGGAAAACTGGAAAAATCTCTTTTGAAAATACAATTTTTCTGTTGCATCATTATTCAAACTCACAAGTGACTGATATGCACAGGAGCAAGAATGGAGAAGACTTGGGCATTTCCCCTCAGTTCTTGGAAGTCCAGGATGTCTAGTAACTAATTACTTTTTATATTTTCTGACCATTAATAGAATTGCCCCACACTTTAATTGCTTGAGAATTTGGTTGGTTCAGGTTTTGCATTCAGTAATTCTAATAGATATATATTTGTATGTGATTTTAAGGTTTTTTTTTTGCATTTGGTAATTCTAGAACGTATTTATTTTCCTGTGAATTTTACTTTTTTTCTAAAGTACGTGCCATTTTATCATGAATATAAATTGGTTTTACTGTACTACTTCACCTTTATGAACCTTCATGAAGTTATGTTTTAACAGAATCATAGAATAGAATCATAGAATAGTTAGGGTTGGAAAGGACCTTAAGGTCATCAAGTTCCACTCCCCCTGCCATGGGCAGGGAAACCTCACATTAAACCATGTCACCGAGGACTCCCTCTAACCTGGCCTTGAACACTGCCAGGGATGGAGCATTCACAGCTTTCTTGGGCAACCCATAGTATTTCATATGGCAAAATTTCTATTTCATATGGAGTTCTAATCCATGCAACCAAATTTTAGCTATATTTAGTGTTTGCCATATAGAGTTGTTTAGCAACTATTATTTAACTTCATTATTAGCTATCTCTTGCAATGCAATTTTGGGGATACAGGAGGCTTGGGGTATCTTTCTTGTTTTTCTGAGGAGGGGACATCACTGGCTGACTAATTTTAGGCCACAAAGAGGAAAATACTGCAAAAGAAGTCAAAAGCATGATTCCAGTACTAGCCAAGATATTCTTTTGAATGCACAGATAATCTAAGAATCTATTTCCTGACTTCAGTATATAAACCTCTATGGAAACATACTGTCTTTTGACAAGTAGTGGAAATCTAACATTAAATTTTCTATTTATTAATTGCTGATCTCTTCTCACTGGTATCCAGTGACAGGACATACAGGAGTAGTTCAAAGCTGCACCAGAGGAGGTTGACTCGACATTAGGAAGCATTTATATAATGAGTGGTCCAACACTGTAACAGGCTTCTTAGAGAGGTGGTCAATGCCTCAGGCATGTCAGTGTTTAAGAGGCATTTGGACAGTGCCCTTAAGAACATGCTTTAACTTTTGATCAGCCCTGAATTGGTCAGGTTGTTGCACTAGGTGATCACTGTAGGTCCTTCCAACTGCCATTATTCCAAAATAAAGCTAAAATTTCTGATTATTATTAATGGTAGAATTCTTGTGTAGTAGTTTATCTCAAAGATAAAATCTGTTTTCTGTAGAGGCCAGAATATTATTCTTTTGCCCTAAATACCCTTTGCTTAGAAAATCCTTAGCACACTCTTTAAACACATCACGGGCTTAAAAAATATCTAAGTTAGAGAAGTTGGTACAGGTACGACCAAATAGATTCTGTGTCTGTTTTAGACGAATTAGTTAAACTGGTATGTGATTGTCGCTGTTGTCTCCATGTTGTGTTGTCTTGTACTTTGAGGTATAAACAGATGTTCTTGAAATCTTGTAGGTATACACAGAATTTTTTTATAACATTCTTGATATTTTACTCTAAAGAAGGGTGAAATCTTTTAATGGCAAAATATTCAAACCACAATTTACCTATCTTTTTCATTATTTCTTTTATAGTTTAAGTTTGCAAGTACTTCTAGTTAGTAAAATGCTGTTATGAATGGGCTCTGACAGTGTGGAAAATAAATGTGTTTGCTTAGTTACCTTTCTAGGACTAAGTCATCACTCACTGACTTTCAAAACCCAATTGAAAAGGAGGTTGGCAAGTTTTGGTGAGGAATGGGACATCAGCATTTTTGAACTGTGAAGAGAATTACTTGACTGAGAGAAAGACTTAGTTTTTGTAGAAATGCAATGAAACCCCATAACTGAAGTCCTTGTCCATTGTACTACTTCATCCTAATGCTAGGTGGAATTTTAACATTGCAACAGAAATCTTTTATATTATTTTTCACAGATTTTTGACTAAAGCTGATATCTCATTTTCTCTAAGCCATGCTGTAATGAGCATTTGCAGTCCAAACAAGCATTGGGTGTCCAGTATTTCATTTTTGTCTTGCAGTTTTAATCTCAGTGCATTTTGCTCCGTTACTTGTAAGATGTCAGTTAAAAATTAAAAGAGGGCAATTCAAGAATGTTTCTTGGCTTTTCCAAAATTCATGAATTTTTTCCTTTCTCTTTTCCATTCTTTGCATTTATACAGGAAGACAGCTGCCTTCAGATGATCCAGAACTCACTGACAGTTTTTCTTGCTTCAGTCCTACTTCATGAGAACTTCAGAAGATACTAACTGAGGTATTTATTTGTTCTTTTCACTTTTAGAATTTCTACTTTGCAGCTATTAGATTGGTAGAAGAGCGCATATAAAAGACACAATGAATTTAGACCAGGAAGAGTAACCATGAAAGGAAAATAACACAAAAGTTCTGTCAGTAAGGAGACCTGCTGGGTCTAATCTCTTGGGTCTAATCTAATCTCTTTCTGTAGCTGGACACTGTGTTAGTTGAATTTTTAATAAAAATAAAATAATTTAAAATATGCCAAAAGGAAACATATTAAAATGCAGTTAAAGTGTTGCTTTTGGGGGGGGGGGGGTGTCTATTGAGTTTTATCTGATTCTCTGTATTTCTCCAAGAATGGATGAAATATTTTGCAGGAAATCCCTGAACATGAATGTTCAGTCATCTAAATAATGACTAAATAACAAAGCCTTCTAAACTATGAAGCCTTCTAAACTATCTGACATTTATAGGTTTCTTTCTCTAATACTTGAAAGGAATTTCAATTAAGGAAAAGCTTTGGTGTTAATGCAGTGTATAATGCTTTTTTCCCAGTTTATCTTTCATAAATCCATGAGATTAAATATAAAAGCTGTTTTAAGGATATTGATAAATATTTTATTCTGAAAAATATTTGTCATTTTTGTTGGATACCAGTGAGTTAATTCCTTTGCATAGAAAATATTTTCTCTATTTGTGTATGTAAACAGAGTCTGAGAAAGGATGAATGAACAAAGAATTCATAAAGGGAAAAAAGTATCTTGTAAGCCTGTGATCAGCTGGATTTATGTCAGTGCTAAATTTATGATCTGCAGCTGTTAAATATCTGATAGGAACTTCATCTTCTAATGCATGATAACCATGCAAGTGCATAGCTAGAAAAAAGGAAATAGTGTGCTTTGAAAAATTAAATTGTCCAAACATATGGATGATGATTGCAGTGCTTCACATAGAGCAAAACTTTATTCTGTAAAGCTTACAAATGAAAGTTTTAATGCTTTTTAAATTGCAGCTACCAGCATAAATTCTAAGATGTCATAGACTGAAAGAAAGTTGGTTGGTTAGTGTTTGTATATTCAGCCTAATGTAAGCAGTGCTGGGCTGGAATTTTTGTTTCTGCATTTGAGAACTCAAAGCTTAAATGGCACTGAAAAGAAGATGTCTTAGAATTTCTATAATATTATCATAAAATATGTAATAAATACAACTTTTTTCTGTAGCTCTTGATATCTATATGTAGGTTTCTTAAGTACCAAGAATGGCTTAACCTTTTGGAAATGCTGGTAATTATTAGTATAGTTATTGTATAAAATTCATCTGTGTTATTATAGATATAATATATGGGTTTCCTTTTTTTAAAGAGACTTTTTATACCAGCCAGTATAGATTACAGTTAAAATAATGTTAGCTTTAAGATTAAAAAGTTTTTTTTTAAAAATTACTATTTAAATTTAGTTGAATGTTACATGTGGGTTTGGAAAAGAAGTCTTTTTTGTTTCTAACTTTGCATTTTGTGCTATTAGCAGCTACTTATATTACATGCAGATTCGATGAAGTGCTGCATATTCTGAGATTTTAATAAAGCAGTTGGCGTTACATGACAGGTTGGGCCAGTTTAGTATGCATTATGGATTTGTTATGTCTTACAGTGGGGCAGTTCATTTCTGGAGTCAGTACACAACCATTTTAGCAGTAGAATTAGCCGCTTATGTCACAGATTATAATTAGCTGCGTCTGTACGCCAAAGCAACAGGATGGAATGCAAAACACAGCCAAACATGTGAACGAATTTTCTTCCAGTGATATTTGCCCAGGCTCAAAATATCTCCCACTCCAGATTTGAAAGTAGTGGAAAAGTTAGACAATTCTCTCTTGGGAAGAGACTGATTGTAGCTTATTCAGAAGTCCACATTATTTCAGATCTCTAAGGTAAGTAACAAATTCTTAAATTTGTTTTTATATCTGTATTAAAATATTAGCATATTAATAATTGAGTTGGGTTTTGTTTGTGCTTATTGCATTAATGTATTGAACTTCTTGCCCTTCTGATTTTCTGTGCAACATTTCAGGGTGATTCTGTCCTCATTTAAGGATCATGTTGGTACTCATGATTTATTTTAGGACAAATTCAAGTGTTAATTTTTATATACAAGTATTATTTTAGATTTACAAGTATTATTTTAGATTTAATTTAGTAATTATACTTGTTTTTACAATTAAATGCAGTATTAAGTTGCACAGTTTAAACTTGTGTAATATTAAGAAGCTTTTAGTAATTTTAAAATCTTTTACAATATCATATTACTATACTTACATAAATATCTAGTTTGCAATAGTGAACCCCTGATGTTTGTAGCTCTAAATTTTTCTCAGTTTATTGATCACATAGTAAAAGTCGAATTTAGCCAAGAATGGATCTGTTCTTCTGATGAGCACTCCTTTTTGGTTCGACAGTGTAATAATAACCTTCCATCTGAGGAACTGTTACCAAAATCAGTTCTAAGTTCTGTGAAACGTACTTGAATTAGTGTTGAGCATTGAACTATGTGTATAGAGAACTCCTTTTGCATATTTGTAATCTCCTTAAATTGAAATACATTTTCAGTTGAATAATTTCCCTGACTGAAAGAAAATTACTAAGTAGGTATCAATTGGTTACTGACTCATTATGATTTACTGGATGATACTTGGTGTGTCTTCACCAACAGGTGGTTGCACTGCATATTTAACCATGCATCAGAGTAAGCTCATAGGTTCCTAAAACAAGCTGTTTCCAAAGCGTAGGAATGTGATTTGACTAGTGATTTGACACCAGTCATCTAGGCTGCTTTTACAGAGATCTGGGTGGTTTCACCATATCTGTCTTAAATCTCCTCTTAATTGAGCAAGAGATTAATAGTGTCCTAGAAGTGTCTGCCTCTCTCCATTGTCTGTGGAGGGGGCCTAGGTAAGTATGTTAATGTTACCCATGTTTAGTGAGATGAATTCTGTCCTGCATAGCCACATCCAAATGAGTAATCCACATGAGTGAGCTGTAGTAACTTTGTGCCATAGAGTTCTGAAATTTTGCAGTCAGTTAAGAAGTTAAGATTTCAGAATTTTTACTGGAGATGTGTAGTCACAACTGATACCACTTTGGCTGAAATGAATGTTGTAAACAAGTATGATATTTACATATTAGATATATATTTTCTCTCCATTACATAATGAAGATCCAGTGGTCCTAGAATGCCACCAAAGGGTAAGAACCACTATGTGGAGTTAAATTAAAAATAAAAGGACCTAAATTAAGTCCAGCATTAAAGGGAGCCATTTAAAATCTCTTTCTAAACATTTACAGTTTTACTAATAACGTGCAGGGTTTTTTTTCTGGTTGAAAACTCAGTGGTTAACAGCAGGTTATATTTTAGTTATTATTCATAATCATAAGGTTTTAGTAGGTTTGTAATTATACAGATGTGTGACTATACTTAGCGTTGAGAATGCGCAAGTTGTGTTTTAGGCTAAGAGAGAAGAGCTTTGTATGAAGAATCGAAAGAAAGAAATGGATGTAGTGTATCTTACAAACCCAAGCCCCTGTAAAAAGGCAGAGAAAAGTTGTGTGTTCTTTTGCTTGAATAGAATGTGAAAAGTAATGCCTATTACATGAGATACAAATCCCAGGTCCTGATATTTTTTAATTATCTTCATGATTTGGGATTAAGTAAACTGGATTTCCTATAGATTTACTTCTCAGAGTTGATTGTCTTAGATGTTTAATGAGCAGTGACTGAAGGTTTTCCATAACAGAGACATTTACAAGGTCTTTCTCACATACAGGTTTTCTGATATCTAATAAGGTCTTTTTGCCTATTGCAGTCTTTCAGTGGAGACAAATGAGCTGCTTCTTCTCTCTGTGTCTCATGTTCAGAAAGTTTGTAGGACTATAGTATTTCTGAGATCTGTACTTCTCTGTTGAATTTGGTTGAAACTGGCCAAAGAAACTCAAGCTGTTGTAGGAGGGAGGGAAATGAATGGGAGACAAGACAATTTACATATAGAGTGCCACGGCTTTTTTATTTATTAAACCAAGCTAAAAGCATCATGGCAGTTTGAATAACAGGTTAATTCAATATCCTGGTCAAATTTTCACCTCGGTAATGATATTCTCGCTATTTAATTCATCTGTAAGTTTGTCTACCTGGGCCTGTCTTCTCATTAGACCTTTTTGTATATCTGCCAAAAGCTGTTAAACAGCTGCTACATATCATGCCACGGCTGGTTATGTTTCTGTGGTGGATGAAGTACTTCTGTAAAATAATGTGAATAGGAATACAAGCTAAAGTACATAAATAATTTTAAAAATTGACTATGGTATGTGCTAAGTGTTGGATATTACTGGTATTAGCCATAGTCACATGGTTTTTACTGAGATATATAGTATATTTGTTTATTTGTGTGCTTGCATGCGTATATCCTGAAGGTTATTCTGTATGAATCATGTATTTTCAATAATGGGATAGAATCATAGAATAGTTTGGGTTGGAAGGGACCTTCAAAAGTCATCTAGTCCAACCCTCCTGCAATGATCAGGGACATCTTCAACTTGTTTGCCTGTGTGAAAGTTTTCATAGTAGGGATAAGAAGGAGGAGGAAAAGGCTGGCTGGGGTTTGGCTGAGTGTCGAAAAGGAGAGAGCGAGCATGGTGGACACTTGCAAAAGTCAGCGTGGATGAGGCAGACAAGGCTGCATATATTCTGATTTTACAGAAAGACATATTTGACGGCTAAAGAAGGGAAAGTTTACACAGAGGACACCCAGTGCAAAATTTTAGGTAATGTGGATGAATGTAGTGGAGAGTTCTATGGAGATGGAGCAAACCTTTCTGTGGGATGGGGCAGCAAAACCAGGACAGGAGGTGGTAGGCCTATGCTGCCTGTGCTACTTTTTAGGCTATTTTTCTAGTCTCAAGTGCTCAAACTTGTCTACTTTTTCAGTCCTACTCTTTGATGTAATAAAAGATACTTCTTTTAGCCACAAAACTGTATTGTATTATATTCCCTGTAATATTCTGCTTCTAGTTTTGTGTCATTAAGATAGGTATTTTCCATTTAATGAAAATACAGAGGAAGGCATCTGAAAACTTACCTTGCTTAAACCCAGAACAGTATTATGAAAAAGTGTATTTCATTCTGCATGATTTCACGAGTCATTTAATAATTATGTTGAATGCACATTTGAAGATAATGCTTTCAAACAGAAATGCAGGTTTTATATTCATGAAGTTGTAGAAGACTATTAATGTATTGTTATAATGGAGAAGAAACTGCATATAAGCTATATTTCATAAAACCACTCTTTGTGTTTATGTGTGTACCCCACAATCTTTTTCAATTTTCTATTTCATTGAAATTCTGTTACTAAAAGATTTCACAATCTGTGAAAGTACTAATTTTTTATGTTTAGATTCATATATTTTATTAATTTTGTTTTTAGCTAAACATTTATTGAACTGATGGTGTTGTGGTTCAAACTTGGTGATTTGTTATAATTGATTTTAGTCATGTTTATAGAAGACAAAGCCATATTCCCTTTGCCATAGTGAAAACATCTAACATGCTATTTAAATTAAGAACTTTAAAATTACCATCTTCCTGTATCAGAAATACTCAGGTACACAGTAATGTCTGCCTTAAGTCAGAAAAAAATTCAAAACTAGCATTTGAAAGTTGTCTAGAAATCAGCGCTTTGATTTACGACTGCTGTAAAGCATATAAATGTCCAGAATGCTCCATCCCTGGCAGTGTTCAAGGCCAGGTTGGACAGAGCCTTAGGCAGCATAATCTAGTGGGAGGCATCCCTGCCCATGGCAGAGTCGTTGGAACTAGATGATCTTAAGGTCCTTTCTAACCTTAAACATTGTATAATTCTGTGAATGTGAAATAATGAAAACAGATGCAGCAGAAAGCAAAATTATTCTTTCTTCTTTTGCTTTATCGGAAGATTCTGTCTTTTGCTACCTTACCCTTCTCTTTGTGACTTTCTTCAGCATTTCCTGGACGTATTTCTCCCCATATTTTACAATCTCCACGTGTGTGTCTCATGTTCATCTCCTGAGTGTACCCACTACTTAACCTTTTTCTCTTATCCACAAGTGTCTACTCAAAATATTTATTTTACAGCAGCTCTTTCTTTTCATGCTTATATGAGAAGTCACCACCATGGTTGTAGATTTAGTGAAGTATTGTTTGTAGGGACAATTATCAGAGGGCGTTAATCAAAATATGAATGCTGCCTGCCTCTGATTCGCAGTGAAGCTGAACTTATATATCTGCCAAATATATCAGATGACAATGTTACTAAGTGTATGTGGGACCTCTCATTTATGTTGATATGTAACCCAGTTTTCCAAGTACAGGCTTTGCTGGTCTGTAAAGTGGGTGTCAGGATCCCTGCACAATGAAGTAAGTTGTTTTTTGAAATAGGAGTCTAGTCCAGCCTACAGTGCAGGTAGTTAAGCAATTTCAGCATGCACAAAAACACAATGAATTTTTCTTAACTGCATCCCAGAACCAGTGCTTCAGCATGAGCTGCAGTTTCCTTTGGACCTACAGGGAACAGTTTAGAGAATTGGTCTTAATGCCTTTAATTCTGTTTTCACATTTTGTGCATTATTTATGTTCAGAATTGCTAATAATACTGCAGTGGATGCATAGGTGGTAAATAGTATTCTTATATTGTTACTAGAATTTCCTGTTACAATATTCCTTTTTTATGTCTGGGTTGGTTCTCTGCTAACATGTCAGACTACAAAGACTTGATTGACATATCAGGCACTATTGTCTAAATTTAATGAGCACACAATGTCCAATTTGAGTTTAAAATGCAAGTTATACTTGTGCTCTATGAATGTTTTTTCTTACGTATGCCCAAAGAATAACTTTAGAAATCACAGGGATACTTCCTGGAGAAGGCAGTGTGGTTGTTAGATCCAAATAGGAATTACCTTCCAGTCACCCAAATTAGGATCTTTAAAATGAAGAAATACACCAAAAATAAGTATTACTTTTCAGATTACAGTACTTGATTTACATCAGTAAAAGTCAATTTTAATTGAAATTCAAGAATTTTAATAGTAACTGCTTATTTAAATTTCAGATTAAATATTTTATATTAAAAATATACTTTCAGGCACAAGGATAATATATACTATGTCGAATGAGAGATTTCGCTCTTTGTTTAGTTTGAAATGCATACATACTTAACATGTACTCCTGGGTTTTGTTTATCCTTAATTTTTTTTTTGCAGTTAATTGTAAGATCAGCTACGTCTTTCCTGTTGGTTTTAATGCAGGTGGTATACTGATTAATACCAGTATTTGTACATTTTGCCATGTTCTTCATCTTCTGTGTTTCTTGCATTGCATTATTGCCTTGTCACGGTTGCTGAAGAAACTTAAGTCAACAGTTGAAGTCAACATCACCAAAAAAGGCTTCTGTAGTACATGTCTTTTGGCGATTTCCTTATGTGTCTAATACCCATTTAAATTAATCTGCTTTTCCCCTGTGTAAGTAAAAATGAGTAATAAATAAATTATATAATAAATTATAGCCAGGACTGAAATGCAACAGAAGCACATCAGTTTGTGTTCATTGTCATTTAAAATTCATCAGAAAAGGGCAGGGATTTAAAATATATAATAAGACACAATATAGATAGGAAAGCATTTTGCTTCCCTTCCTACTGAAAAGGAAAGTGAACTTTTAATCTTTAGTTTAGTTTCATATGACTTTTCAAAAAAAGTACAGTTATGAATTTCTACATGCAAGGTTGAGTTACTCTTCTTTCATAGTTTTTAAAACATCTGTGGTAGATCACTTGAATTAGAGAGGGAAGGCATGAGGCTTAATTTTCATCTCTACTCTCTGTATCTAGTTGAATTCCTTGTTTCTGTGGTGTATTTTCTCTTCACTATTCAAAGAAAGCTTCACAAGATAGCAGTATAACTCCATTTACTGTATACAGTATACAGCATACTGTTTACTGTATACAGTATAACTCCATATACTCCATAACTCCATTTCACATTGTGAAATAATTTAGTAAGGCTAAATAAACAGCTTTTCTCAAGGTCGTGTCGTGGTTCAACCTTGGTCAGCAGCTAAGTCCCACACAGATGCTCTCTCACTCCCCCTTGGTGGGCTGGGGGAGAGAATCAGAAGAGTAAAGGTGAAAAAACTCATGGGTTGAGATGAAGAGAT